TATTTGATTCCTAATAGCATCAAGAAATGTCTGGCTGAAGCAGCATATTGGCATTTGTTCCGTTTCTGTATTCAAAATGCTTTTGCATTTAAATTGCTTTTCTTTTAAAGGACCTTTGCAATGGCATACTTGTTGTTGTTGTTGCTGTTGTTGTCATCCACAATCAATTCACTGCAGGATGAAGGCCCCTTTAGTAAAGGTTATGGACCGTATTCTACCATGGTTATCCACCACAGCAGGGTATATGCCGGTAGTCAGTAGATATACGTTTTTCAATTTCCCAGGCTAGGTTTGAAAAGAGTGACAGCTTCCATACCTTAGGAAAGACTAGAACCAAGGAGAACCTGAGACTAGAACCTATTACTTCAGAGTCACCATGATTTCTATATATTAGCAGCAAGGATACCAATTCTTTACAAGAGTTTGTCTAGAATGCTTACAAGTTCTTGTGTTTATCAGCATGCCTGCAAGCATGGCTCTTGTCACTGAGTAGAGCAAGGGCAACAAAGGGGTTGGGGGAAGGAATTTTATCAAGACATTGCAGGCCAGAGGAGGTCAGGAATTTCCCATAACAGATATCCCATCCCTGATATAAACCCTATGGTCTGACTAAAGAGCAAAGTACATTAATTTGATATAATTGATTCAGAACCCATAAGGCACTTATAGATAGCTAATTTGGTGTAGCAGTTAAGTCACCACACTAGACACTGGGAGACTGTGAGTTCTAGTCCTGCCTTAGGCACAAAACCAGCTGGGTGACCTTGAGCCAGTTACTCTTTCTCAGACCTAGGAAGCAGGCAATGGCAAACCACTTCTGAAATCTTACCAAGTAAACTGCAGGGACTCATCCAGACAGTTGCCGGGAGTCAACACTGACTTAAAGGCACATATATACACACACACAAAGGCACTTTTACATTGTTAAAATATTTCTTATGACAGAGAAACCTAACAATTCTAGCAGAAGAAAAAGTAAATAGCTTCCCTCTGGTATGCAGACTGTAAATATATTACAAAATAACTTCAGAGCCATTTCCTCCTTAGCGTTGTTCAAGCATCTAAAATTGTTGGAGGTGTTCAGATCAGAGTTCTCTGACACAAGAGTAACATACTACAGAGGATGGTTGCTCCCAACTCTGTTTTTGCAATAGGGACCCAACCGATCCTAATCGAAACCAAGACTAGCTACAGTTAACACCATTATTCTACTCTATTCTGTTACTGTATTTAGCTGTGACAATGTAATTAAATGGAATAGCAAAGAAAAGTCCTCCTTAACTTTGTATCTTAAAGAATAATGGGAAGGCAATGTGGAGCAAGTGAAAAACAATTGTGAGCAACAACCAATTAACTAGAAGAGGGGGCTGGGAATCTCTGTTTGGCAATATAATTAGCATATGGCCAAATTGCTGCATTAATAGATGGCAGATGCTGCATGCCATCAGGGGAAGGGAGCAACCAGGCACTTATAAAGCCTTGATTTCCTGTAGGGGAGACTCACGTGAGCTAGATGTACATGTATTAAATGCTTAGGGCAGTAATTATCAATATACTACTGCAAACTTCTTCCATTTATTTATTTATTTTTTTTATTTAAAAGATTGATATGGCCGCCCATCTTAAATAACTCTGGGCAGCCCACGACAACAGTAAAACCAGTAACTAGTTTGTGAAGGCCTGCTGCAAATGATTAATCTTTGAGCTAGTATATTCATTACCTGGAAGTTTATGGTTCTTGTAGCCTTAACTGTGCCATTACATTGTTCTCAGTACCATCTGCAATGTTCACTTATGTGTTTAATGTAGTTCATATCCTTTCAGGTTGGCTCTCCAGTATGACTGATGTTTGCCTTGACTATATAGACAGATAGAAGAGAATACATGTTACCTAGCACTGAAGATATTACCTAGCTGGGTAACGAAACGTCTGCTAGAAAACAACCAAGCTCAGAGAACCCCAAGGACTCCACAATATATAGATAGACATTGCAAGAGTTACTTGGAGCATGGCAAAATAACTGCAGTACCTGGAGAAAAAATTACCATCAATTCATTGCAAACAAAGAAAATATAGATATGAGAACTGAGCTTCAGACTAATTTGGATCTGGGGACATTTAATATCCATCTTAAAAAGAACTTGGTATACCTTGTTCACAATGAGAAAGTATACTGCTTGAAGAGAATCTCAGGGCTATATATAAAAGCAAATAAGTTATGTTCCCAAAGCTGTCAAATGTGAGAATTATGTTCTACTTTATAATTTGCCTCATCTAAAATTAGTAGTTGTATTTTTGTATAAACAATGAACAGAAGCAATCTTTATAATATATCTCTGCAAAACATAATATATGCAGCACAAAAGATTGTTCCTTAAAATTATGCACTGGGGAATGAAGAACCAATTTTTGACCTGGCAGATACAGGATGCATAATTAGGCACAAGCATGACAACATGCTAAGAAACTTTATTAGAAGGGGGTGCCATTTTAGCTTTGTGCTAAAACGAAGCAGCTTATTTATGCATTCACCGAGTGATGGCTTTTTCTAAGTTTTACTCTCTCTTTTTTTAACTTTCTGAGTAGGAGAAATAGGTTCCGCAAGTGAAATGCTTTCATCCATTTTAACATTATTAGTTGCAAAAAGGGACATTTCATCTACAAATATCTTCTTCTATTGCTTTACAGAAGTGAGCTGCACACATTAATTATATCCAGAGGGATCATAACTTTTATTGCTGTTGATGATATTTGCTTTAATGAACTGTGTACTTCTAATACGCCTTTTATGTTCTGTTGGTATTAGTTTATCCTAACTATCACGTGAGTGCCAAGTTTAAATGCAAACACATACACACCCGCTCTCTTCTTCTTGTTTCCTTCTTGTTGTTGTCCATTGCTTAAGCGTATGGATCGGCTTCTTTTTTATTGCTGTTGTTAGATTTTATGGAAAAGGAATGAAATATTATAGATATTCCTTTTTAAAGTGACATTTCCTTTTTAAGTCCTTGGAGATTCTGTTGCCATTCATAGAGCATACATGAGCTTTGGAACAAGCTGAGGTGATAACTTGGGTAAGAGCTTAAAATATTTAAGAAACTAAAAGCACAGCTATTACTTTCCACTTTTCTCACATCAGATATTTGTGTCTGGAAAGAGCTTAGCTGAATTGTACTTGAAGCAAATAAAGCAGGTGGCCAAGTAATAAATCACAGCACAAGTAGACCTTGGGTTACAATGGCAACTGGGATTCGAATTGCTGCCGCTAAGGGTCATGGTCATAAAGTATGACATTATGTGATTGTGCTGCTTAGCAATGGCAGTTCCAGCAGTCCTGGTTGCTGTTGATAAGTGAGGACCATGAGGGTCATTAAGCGAGGACTTCACATGACCGTGACTTCCAACTTCCTGCCAGTTTCTCCATTGACTTTGCTTGTAGGAAGCCTGCAGGGAACATTGGAAATCGTGATCATGTGACACTGGCTTGCTGCTATGTCATAATTTTGAGCCAGGTGCCAAGCACCCGGATCGTGATCACATGACCATGGAGACACCAAGGCTGCCAGAACTCCAAGGACCAGTCGTAAGTCCCCCTCATTCAACACTGTTGTAAGTTTGAATGGTCACTGAACAAGTAGTTGTAAGCCGAGTGTTGGGGTTTTGAAATGTTAGTAACAGAAGATCCCACGCAACATTCAGCTAGTTTTAGTGGTTTAGCAGAGTAGAAGTGTTCAAACTGGCACAAAGGCTTAACTAAGTTCAGATCAAAATAAACACTCTCCACAGATTAGTAAAAGAGAAATAAAAGATAGCTTACAGTTTATTTTCAGATCTTCATACAAAGCAGTTTCATAGTAGAAATGGTCCTGTGCATATGAGTAATAAGTTCAGACGAAATCTACATGTCGATGAATGTAGGCAACCTGAATGGAAATAAGAAAGCCACGAGGAGGAGAGAGGATTCCCTCATCCATTGTGCAGGGCCATGATGGAAGAAAAAAGAAGAGAGAGAGAGGGAAACAGGAAAAAGGCGGGATCCAAGCCCTCCCACATAAAGCAGAAAAGCTAGGCCGCAGCGGAGCCACCCCTCCCTTTGTGCTCGTGTGAGACAGGCTAGGTTGAAACCCCATATTTTTCCAACACCGAGGACCACCTGTATTAAGCCAAGGATGATCTGTATTATGAGTGTTCATAACCTTTCGACCACCTATATTAAATAATCTCTTTATATATAAAGTGCACACTATAGAATATACTCTCCCTCTCCTATATTGTACTTAATAGATTATTAATTATGCATGTCAACTGAATAGGTTTTGCATGAAGGTAGTATATAAATATTTTAAATAACTACTTACAAATGGTCATATAAAGATGGAAACTGATTATAGTTATTTATTTTGCCTTACTGGGAAACCAATACACATCCTCTTATCCTATATATATTAACCAAAGTAGGCAAACTTTCTCTTTGCTTCTTAGCTTAGAAAAAGTTTAAAATCTCTGTTGCCACAAGACACTTAATCCAGTCAGTTCCCTCTATTCTTCTATTCTTTTTACATGAACCATTAAAATATCCTTTTTTAAAAAGCATAAAATATATAATTTAAAAAATGCTTTCTAGAAGGCTTTCTTTTATTTATCTTAATGAATATTTTCAACCTATAAAAATAAAACTAGATTTTTGAAATTCATGTTCATCTGACCTTTGAACCTATAATAATTCCAAATGGAATTATTCAAAATAATTCCATTTGGAATGAATTCAAGAATCTAAGTTTCCTTTTTCCCATTCCATTCCATTCGATTCCACTTTCATTATTATTTGTACTGTTTCTATACTTCAGTTCTTTCAAAAACATTAATGCTAAAAGCTACGTTTGATCAATGAAAGAAGAAAGTGGGCTCAAACATTTCCAAATCCCATACAAAATGGCAAAATATTGTTATGAAAATGTGCAGAGAATCTTAAAGCTAAGAAGGAACAAAACATGATACAATTTAGTCAAACAATGAAATGCTTTTTTTAGTATTATAGATATTTTCCAGATAATACCTTCATTGGGTTTTTTTATATGTTTTTACACAACAACCTGTACAATGTAAATGATTTGATTTTTGTTATTACATACCACCGAGTCAGAGTTGACTCTTAGCGACCCCTCAGATAGACATTCTCTAAAACGATTCTTTCTCAACCTGACCCTTCAGGTCTTCCCACGGTGCACTCATCAGTTAGATGCTGCCCAACTCCCAGCTGCTGGTTGTCTTTTTTTCTTTTCTTTTTTTTTCCCCACCTTTCCCAGACTTTTTAAAAGAGTTAGGCTTTCATATAATATGTCCAGAATATTATAATATGAGCCTGGTCAACGGTGCCTCAAATGAAAACTCTGGATTGATTTATTCTATGATCCATTTGTTGTTTTTTTTGGCTATATGTGGTATTATCGAGAGTCTTCTCCAGTATCAAAGGTCAAAAACATCAATAGTCTTTCTTTCCTGGTTCTTCAAGGTCCAGCTTTTGTTCTCATAGAGTGTCATAGAAAAAGTAATTGTTTTCTTATTTGAATCAACAACTGCATGTAAATGGTGAATATGCATTCAAATTTGCAAAAAGATATGTTTAACTTCATATCACGTAGTCATTGTGTCAGCTCCTATCCATGTACTGTTTCATTTAAGCATTAAGTGTGACCAAGGTTATGTGAACTTTTGTTTACAGCTGTATACAACTTAAGCCAAATCACAACAATTTTATGGCTAAGCAGGATTTTGAATCTTGATTTCCCCCATCCTACTCCACTGCTTTTTATATATGCTGATTTTCATTTGCAAACGCCCCAGATTAAAAACCAATACTAATAACCACAACAGTGCAGATAAATGCTATAGAGATAATCCATTAAAGTATCTCCAAAATATTTATGGAGTTGATTATGAGATTATATCTGAGAAGAAAGAAAGAAAGAAAGAAAGAAAGAAAGAAAGAAAGAAAGAAAGAAAGAAAGAAAGAAAGAAAGAAAGAAAGAAAGAAAGAAAGAAAGAAAGAAAGAAGCCTTAGCTGGCTTGTCCTATACAAAATCATGAACATGTCTGCATGTATATGGTAGGATTTTCAAGAAGCTCATTAATTCCTTCTTTGGAGGAAAGAGGCTGATATCACTTTTAAAAGCAAAGTTGTAATATTTTATAAGTATTCAAAGTCAATCCATTTAAATTTTTAAGATTCTGGTATAGGTTCTCTAAATCTTCTGCTTCATCCAAAGCTTTTTTGTGGCATGGAAGACCCTTTCCAAAAATATCAAATGCTCAATATAAAACAATGTTTATGCAATGTGAAACTTCATATAAACATAGAGCAATTAAACTTTGACAGTCTGATTACTTTTCCTATTTTAAGATATATTTTCAGAAGGACCAGGATTACTACAGTTTCTTGTAATTAAATAATCACATATTCTTCTCATGCTATCCAAATCTCCATCCCCCTTTCTCTCCCTACTCTGTTTCCCCATTTTTTTGTTTTGTTTTGTTTTGTTTTTTGTTTTATTTTGTTTTGGTTTTTTTAGGTTGTATATCCTTGATGTAAAAGGCTTCTCATGTCTATCCTTTGGAAAGCATCATGTATATTGATCGCATACAATGTCCTTAAGCTATTATGTTCTGGGAAGAAGTAATTACATATATTAATTTGAGTTCAAAACAAAATTTAATATTTTTGGACATCCATATTCTTCTGAATTATGTGTGTGTTATTTGGAAATTGATGGCTGAACATTGGGAATATATTCTCTGGGTCCTTTTCATTGCTAAGAAACACTAGGAAGATAAATTTATGGCTGCAGTTATTCAGCGGATTGAAGACCTGATGTTACTTATGACTTACGAATGAATCATTTAGAGATATATATTATGTTATATGTGGATAATAATTAAATACAGTTATCCTTTCTTGAAACTGTTGTGAAAAATTTCATGTGCATATATACATGTATGAGAATGCACAAACACACACACAAACACACATACATGCACACCCATATGTGTGTGTGATGTGTATATATACATATCCATATCTCAGCAACTCACACACACATATATAATTCATATATACATTTATATATATATATTGCATATATATATACATGTATGAGCAACTCACACACACAAAGACCTATATAGTATATACAGTGGTACCTCGGGTCACGAACACTTCTGTTCATGACCAATCGGGTCACAAACAGCTCCGTTCGCAAAATTTTGCTTCCGTTCGCGAACGCCGGATCGGGTGACGAACAGGATCCGCGGCCATTTTCCCTCCCGTGACACGTGGTCGTGGCTTCCTGTAGGGAGGGAGACTTTCCCTCCCATCAATAAC